ACCTTACAGATTAGGGAGACTGTAAACGTCAAAGCCATGACAATGTTAACGTCCAAACGACTTTTTTTAATTCCTAGTGGATACCTGGGGCCAGGTTTGGTCTTAATATAACTCAAACTCCACAGAACGGTTTGCATTCAGCGTGTACTACCGAGTGAAGGGCTGCAAAGGCAATGTAGCACAGATCCGGATGGTAGCTTGATGCCAAGCGAAGGCTCTTGGATTACATTCTGCGCACGAGTGTGACAATCAGACATTTTTTAGTTTTGTTTTTGAAAAGGAGGAGAATGACAAAAACATATGTCTGTTGTTTCTAAGTAAATGCCCGAACGATGTCCCTTACGCGCGACCGCGTATCAGAACACAGTTCTGAGGGCACAGAACACAGGCTGTCTACTGCGCTAAGGTCCTCTCATCCAACCAATTCCCCACCGCAGCCTTCTTTACCTACCCCAAGGAGAACTGGGAAAGCCTGGTCGGGTCTGCAGAAGTTTCTGACGCAGTTGCTCCCAACAGTTTCGGAGAAGTCCCCGGGATGCCGGCCTCGGCGGAAAGAGCAGCACCAGCACGCCCAACGCCATCTTGCCCGCGCGAAGATTACTCCCTCTGGGTTCCCAAGCATGCGCACAGACGCTGAGCCTGGCGGATCGGCTCCTGGAACTACAACGCCCAGCAAACCGCAGAGCAGTTCTGACTTTTCTCCAATCAGAGAAAGAGAAGGGAACAAGAGCGGGGAGGGGAGGGAAAATGAAAAGAAACGGGACGCAGTGCGCATGTGTGCGACGGTGCTTTGGGCCTCCGGGTAAAGATGGCGGAGCGTGGCTACAGCTTTTCGCTGACAACATTCAGGTATGGAAAGGGCCGCCGAGGTCTTTCCTGTAGTTTAGGTTGCAGGAGCTCCATCTATCCCGTGTCATCAGTCCTGGCCTTTGGCTTGGTGCTACCGGAGGATCTAGCAGAGAATGGGGATGGAAATGCCGCTTTGCCAAGTCATTACCGGGCTGGGCCCAGGAAGCAGCGGTCCCGGGATGCTGCGGGAATGCAGGTCGGGGGAATCTGAGATGAACTTGGGGTGGCGGGAGAGTGAGGTCCCATCCAGAGATTCGCTTTCCTTTGGAGACCAGAGAGGAAGGCAGTATAGGATTAGCTATCTTCAGAGGGTCCTTTCAGAACTCAGGATTTCCTTCCTGACCCAGTCAGATAGGCCTGATTGAGGAACGTCTGAACCTCCGAGAACGGTCATATCATTTTCTCAGAAAGTCTGTCACTTTTTGGTGGGAGTCTAAGTTTCCATTTAGCGCTAGTGTCTTTTGAAACGTGCCACTTTCGGTTTCTTCTGTGCCCATATTACACGTACTAAAAATGAAAGCGCTGATCGTAGAATTACTATCATTTAGTGTTTGTGGGCCCTGTATTTCTAGGTTTGTGCGTTTTGACCATTTTTCTTGGTGGGAGGTGGGCTGTATTTAAAAAGGATTGTAGGCTTTTCTATTATAGAACAAGGTATTAATTCTGTTTATCAAAGTACAGTTGGGGTGAATCATCCACAAACCATCACCGAAGGATGTAGTAAATCAACAAGGAAAGGATTCTGATTTGACCATTTTCTTAAGAAGCAGAAATGGCCCTTTGGTTAAAATGTAATCTTATCTCACAAATAAAGTTGAAATCTAACTTTTGTTGTAGACTCTGTGTAAGTGCAGCTTAAATTACTCCATCATTTTCCACAACTATGTATGATCAATTTTCCTGAACATTTTACAGTTGAGGAAACCGCAGTTCTAAAAAGTTAAATAACTTGACCAAGCGTCAATGCTGAGTTGGCATTCAAACTAGATTCTCTCCAATGACAAAATTAATGCACTGTCCATTTCATTATGTGGTCTTCTTAAATCCTAAAATAACATCCTCTTAAGAATTTTTAGTAAGAGTGTATGTGATAGGTGTTTTTTATTATCTCTTCAGTAGTGAACTAGAGATAGTGACCTAGCTATGTCAATCTGGACAAATAACTTTATTCAGGGACAACTTTTCTTTATCTGTAAAATAAGAAGATTGGTTTGTTATGTTTATTATATGCTTCTAATTCAACAAGTAGGTCAAAATAGGTTAGTTTGGGATTAGTATTTGGCCACCAAACCAGATCTATTTAATACAACCATCTTGTAGCACCTATAAATAGTTTTATTATACAGAAAATACTTTGTCGATGATATGTGGGTCTTACCTATTAAGCCATGTCTATTTTCTAAAACATTTCCTACATGAAGTGTATGCAGTAATGTTGTTCAGTGTTTACTTAGTGCTAATTCTGTTCCAGGAACTGTTCTGAGATTTTATAGCCATTGCTTCATTTAATCTTCTTAACACTTTTTTGTAATAGGTAATCATAGTGTTAGTATTCTCACTTTATAAAACCAAAATTCATTGCCCTCAAGTCAATCCCGACTCATAGTGACCCTTCCTTTGGTTTCCGAGGCAGTATCACTACGGAAGTAGATTGCCCAGTCTTCCTTCTGAGGAGTGGCTGGTGGATTTGAACAACTTGGTTAGCAGTCAAATGCCTTAGGCACTGCTCCACAGGTTAAGTTACTTGCCCAAAGTCCCAAGGCTGGTAAGTGTGAAAAGAGGCAACAGTGTTGCTGTTCAAAGGGGCAGATAAGAGAAAGCTACCACAGGAAAGTTTTGGTGGTTTACTGTGAGTGATCAAATCGCCTTATAAATGTTGTGGTTTCAAAGTCCAGATACTCCTTTATGTGTGAGATTTGACCTATATATCCATCCTCTTAAAAATACCTTTGATGGTTTCGTGTCTTTTTTTTTTTTAAAGCCCATCTGGTAAACTTGTCCAGATTGAATATGCTTTGGCTGCTGTAGCTGGAGGCGCCCCTTCAGTGGGAATTAAAGGTAATTAAAGTTTGGATATTTACAGATATGGTAAAATATGTTGTTGTTACGTGCTGTCGAGTCGGCCCCTACTCATAGACCCCTCTTTGGGGGTCTGAGGCAGTATCACTACGGAAGTAGATTGCCCAACCTTGTTTATTAAATTCTTCGTTTCAGGTGCTTGCTAATAGTTCCCTAATTTCCTTTTGGAATTAATTAGTGATTCATTTGTAAATAAATACCTGTGGCAGCATAATTTTTAATAGTTCTTTGTGCATTAATTTACAGTATTTTGACATTTAAAGGAAATAATAAATCTAAAAACTTGTTAATTTTTTTTCAAAATAAATATAATACTTTTTTTATATATTAATTGGATAACCCACAAATAGTATTTTCCATTCAGAAATTGAGTATTCTTTTGATTTTCCACTGATTATATGACACTGGCAGTTTTTCCTTTTCCTATAGTTTATTGTTGTAATGTGCCATTGAGTCAGACCTGACTCATAGCGACCCCTCCTTAGGTTTCTGAGGCAGTATCACTACGGAAGTAAATTGCCCCATCTTCCTTCCGAGGAGTGGCTGGTGGGTTTGAACTGCCAGCTTTCTGGTTAGCAGTCCTATAGTTTAGAAAAAGTTAATTATGTGATGGCCCTTGAGACCAGAAGAACTAGTTGGTGCCTGGCTACCAATGCCAACCACTCAGGAAAGGATCAAAACTAGTGATCCTGGATAGAGTGGGAGGAAAAATGTGGAACAAAATCCAAAAACACAATAATGACCAGAATTATTGGTCAGATGCACTCTGGTGGGACCCCCCAATATTATGGCTCTGGGATACACTTTGGGACTGGAATAAAACTCACTCCCAGGGGCTGGCTCTCAGCCCAATAGTAAATGAGATGTTCATGCAGATCACTTAACCCAGGGTGATGCACCCACATACTCTATGGAGATGCATCCCTTGGAGCAGTTAACTATAGGGCACCAGAGGGACAACATTCACACAGAGGAAACCTAGGACACACAGGAGTGCATAACTATGAGGGGCCTGGGGGTGGGTTACTGGACAAGGAGGGGAGGAGAGTGGGGTAGGGTTGGGGATAGTAATTGGAGAGTAAAACCAAATGTACACAAAATGTTGAATGTAATACTCTGTAAACTTGCACCTAAAGCACAATAATATAATAAGTTAATTAGAAACTTAATCTAAAGATAATGTGATTATCGAAAGTACTTTAAAATTTCACACAAATCACAATAAAAAGTTAAAAAAAAAAGATATAATGTGTTATACCTTTTTTTTGTTTTTTTAAGTCATTAGTTATAAATTCTGTATTATGAAAACAATGCTGTCTTTTCTCAAGTAGGCAGAATTCCATTTTAAAACGTGGACTTTCAGGTATTATAACTTTAAGTATGATACTTTAAGAAAAGTTTTGTAGTCCTTTAGCTGTGAGAATTAATTAATGTAATATGAATGACTTCTGGAAAAACTGATCTACCATTCTTAAGTAATTTTGATATAGGAATCTAGCAGCAAAGGTCTTGTAAAATAGAGGAAGTGAGAGTTTTGGTGAAATGCATTGAACCAGAGTCTTTGAATGATTAAAAGGTGGTTGTTTGTTTTATTTCTTTTTAAGCTGCAAATGGTGTGGTTTTAGCAACTGAAAAGAAACAGAAATCCATTCTGTATGATGAGCGAAGTGTACACAAAGTGGAACCAATCACCAAGCATATAGGTTTGGTGTATAGTGGCATGGGTCCAGACTACAGGTACGTAACACAATCTATTCTTATTTTTTTCACCATCTCATGAATTGCTCCTAACTTACACTTTGAGGAGAAAAATCAAGAAATGTTTTTCCTTTAATCTCCTAAATCCTCTTTTTTTGTGTTTTGTGTGGAAACAGCCTGGTTTCAGTTTGCTCATGCTAGATCAGATGAGGATTATTGACTAAGGTTTATTATTAAGACTGAGGGTTACTGACCAAGGCTTACTAAGGCTGATAACTCCATGCTACTCCATTGCAGAAGAGGAGTTAGATACAGTATGTAATCCTCTTATCTCTGTTCATTGGTCTTTCCTTTCGGATCACAATCCTTTTTCTGCTATCCTAGGCTAAGCAGGAATGACTTTGGTTTTCTCGAATGCACTTTAGAAGGATCCCTGGTGGCGTAGTAGTTAACTGCTCAGCTGCTAACCAAAAGGTTGGCTATTTGAACCAACTAGCTATTCCATGGGAGAAAAGACCTGTTAGCTCTTATAAAGATTAACCCCCCTGCTGTGGAGTTGATTCCAACTTATAGTGACCTTATAGTACAGGGTAGAACTGCCTGATAGGGTTTCCAAGACTGTAAACTTTTATGGAAGCAGACTGCTGCAACTTTCTCCCATGGAGCAGCTGGTGGGTTCAGAGAACCAGCGTTTCAGTTAACTGAACATTTAACCACTCTGCCACCATGGCTCCTGTAAAAGATTAGATTATAGCCTAGGAAACCCTATAGTTTTACTCTGTCCTGTAGGGTCTCTGAGTTGGAATCAACTTGACAGCAGACAACAATAACAGCAGTGCATTTTAAAGATGATAAAAGTAGTGCATCTGATAGTAAAGTATATAAATAAAAGTACCAGGGAGCAAAGAAAGTATCACCACCCAGAGCCAACCTCATTTTCTTTGTTTCTGTTCTTCTCAAGGAATGAAATCTTCAAAGCCCTGCTGAGTATGTCAGGCAGTCAGGATCCAGATGCTCATATAATCGCTCCCTTTTCATTTCAGGAAAAAAGAGGAATTATCTTGCCCAAAATGGTAATCAAAGCCAGATACAGTTACTATCCTACTAATATCCAGTATCATCAAGTTGAAAGAGATTACATCTTTCTGTGTTCATCATTTACCAAGTAAAAAGAGTCTTACTTTTATTCTTGATTTTGTGGAACAAGATGTTGTTGTTGTTAGGTGCTGTTGAGTCAGCTTCGACTCATAGCAACCCTGTGTACAACAGAACAAAACATTGCCTGGTCATGCACCAGCCTCACAATCCTTGTTATACCCAAGCCCATCGTTGTAATACTGTGTCAAACCATCTCGTCCAGGGCCTTCCCCTATTTCGCTGACCTTCCACTTTACCAAGCGTGACATCCTCCTCCAGGGAATGGTCCCTTCTGACAATATGAGCAAAGTAGATGAGATGAAGTCTAATCATTCTCGCTTCCAAGGAGCATTCCAACTGCACTTCTTCCATGACAGATTTTTTAGTTCTTCTGGCATTCCATGGTACTTTCAGTATTCTTTGCCACCACCACAACTCAAAAGTTTTCTTTGCTGCCCAATACCTTTATTTATGTAGTTTACTATCACATGGAACAAGATAGATAGAGATAAAATTTCACATTCATGAGTCAGAAGAAGAACAAAGGCACTGGGATGTGGTCAGGCTTCATTAAATGGATCCATTTACTACTATATATAGCAGGGATCTTCCCTGGTAAAAGGGATGTGGGATAAGAAACATATGATGGTAATAATGCATATTCTACATCTATAATACATGAGCAGGTAAAAGTAAATTCTGTGTCCTGTTAATATATTTGCAAATTAATTAATTGCATTATTATACAGTATATTATTAATACTTTTTGACAAATTTTACTTTTCTTTTTTTAATTAGACTGGTTTCGTGTTGTTCCTTAATCTTGGAGGGGTGCTCTTTGAACTGTAAGCATAGAGATTAAGGCAGTCTATAGAAAGATTGAGCCAGAGTGAATACCAGGAAGTGTGTGTGTGTGTTTGCCTAAGTGAGATACAAAAAAGACAGGTGGCTACCCTTGGGTTAGGAGAACAATCTTAAAAGAGGCAATGGAGGGAGATAAAGCTATCATTTTGTATACTGAACCGTGCTGCTGCTAAGCTGTCTGGTACCACTAGTCCCTCTTGCCTTGTTCTTGTCACTCTCCTTTGGCTGAGCTCCTGTATGCTAATATTCTAAATCAACTAGACTCAGATCTGAGAACAAGAATGGTTTTGAGCTGAGAACTACTATTAATGTGATATGTGTAAACTTGTGCTTTAGGTATTGAAAAAGAAGAATGAAACTTTAGGTAGTAGAAAAATGTCTTAATTAAATCTTTTTTCTCCTTTGTCTGTTAGAGTACTTGTACATAGAGCTCGGAAACTAGCTCAGCAGTACTATCTTGTTTACCAAGAACCCATTCCCACGGCACAGCTGGTACAGAGAGTAGCTTCTGTGATGCAAGAATACACCCAGTCAGGGTAAGTTTTTACTTGACATGTGTTGTGAGTTAGAAAAAAAAAAAAAAGTTTTAAAAGACTAGATGTATAAAAGAAGAGTACTTACTATATCCATATTTATGTAACAAGTAGAGAAAGTCAGTGTGATGAGTGTTTCTGGTCTTAGCTGGATCCAGAATATTTTCTTTAAAGAAAAAAATGTGAAAATTTTCTTGTTCTTTATGTAAAGCAAGAAAGCAGCTTCTAGAAATAGAAAGTCTTTTGCCAGGATTAAAACACTTTTTCATGAACAATCAAATTTATCTTTCTAATCAGAAATGGTTATAAGCAATAGCTTGGACACATTTATATTCATGTTAATATCAGCATTCTCAAGTTTGGGTGTGAACATGAGTAAGCTGGTATAAAAGTAGATGTTGATAGGTAAAGTAGCCAGCAGAAAAGCCATATTATTTTAAAGTTATCATTCTATTAGGACACTAAATGGTACTCCATAGTTAATAATCATTTAATCCAAAATGATTTGACTGTTCCTCAGCACCTTAAAGATTGAATTTATTCATTCAAAAAATCACTAAATATATATTTAGGTAAATTAAAAATCTAACTCAATTTACCTTATATCTGCTTTACTTCAGAATATTGATGAATTATTACCTTAGGATGACTTTAATACAATGAAGAGGCCAAGTAATTTTCATTTCCTTTCTTCAGTGGTGTACGTCCATTTGGAGTTTCTTTACTTATTTGTGGTTGGAATGAGGGACGACCTTATTTATTTCAGTCAGATCCATCTGTAAGTATCATAAGATGTGTTTGAAGGATTTTTTAAAGTGATCTGAATATCTAATAAAAATAGACATAATTAAAACTTAGCAGTATTTTTTTTTTTAATTTGTACTTTAGAACGTTTAATTTAAAATTTTATTTAGTCTAATCAGTTCTGCCATGTTTATAAACTTCATTCAGATACTTGATTGATATGATTGTTGAGGTATTTATTGCCAAATCTCTTTGTAGAGATAGAATTCTGTTACTTTGAAAATAAAGTATTACAGTTAAAGAACTGGGTATCTTAGGGCTAACTTGAAAGTATGACTTTTCAAACAAAAACACTGTTGTAACTGTCTTGAATTTGCAAAATGATTATGTAACCAATACCTTGAGTGAGTTGTCTCCTCTACAGCAGATTGATGTCAAAGTTAGAAGGCATTCATGGAGGAATTATGTAATATTCCACAGCTGTCTTAATTTGCTATGAGGAAAAATAATCAAGATTAGGAATTGATTTTCATAATACATAAGATCAAAAGTGAATGTTGATGGATCATTAGATAATTGCAGGTTCACTCAATTAAAACTTCATGATTTAACCTTATAATCTGAAAAATAAAAATAAAAAAATATTTTGGTTGGTTGTTACTTAAATCAGGAAAATAATGTATTGTGAGTACTTTGATAGTACCTGTTGCCCCATCTTTTGAGTTTTTGAAGCTCTGTATCAAGTCCTGCCCAGCGTTTAGCCACCATCACTGGAATCCAGGTTTTATGTCCCCTCCCCCTTTTTTTCTTCTTTTGTGTCTAAAAAGAAATTACTTCTTTTAAAATATACTTGGTGAGCTGCTCTCAGAATTTTTTTTGCATATATTTGTATTTTTTCAACAGACAAGGTCTTGTTATGTAAGAGATGCTGCTAGAGCTTTCATTTTAACATTAAATATCAAAAATATCAAAAGCTTTTGATATTTTTAGTCATGTGCCATCTTTTTCTACATTTAGTCATTAATGATGAAGAATTGTTTACTATTTTTCAGATGTATAAACTGACGGATTTTTAAATCCATTCAGTCCTATTAAACTGAAGTTTTTGGTTTACATTAATTAACCTCACTTTCTGTTAACTGTTTTGTTTTTTTTTTGCCATATAATTTATGTATGATAAACTGTGCGTAAAGTGTACAATTCCATGTGCTTCAGTAGATGGAAGCACCTGAGAAAGATGTCACCGTAATAAAGATAGTAAGCGTTTCCATAACTCCCAAAAGTTGACTTACACCTCTTTGTTGGCTATCTTCCTAACATTTATTACAAGTAGTCTATTCTGTGAAGTATTCCATTCCGTCCCAATACTCTGTCATGTTAAAATTTACAACTAGTTACAGAGCTAGAATATATATTGTAGGGAATATAATTACATTAAGGTTTTAAAATAGGATTTTTTTCTCCTTCTCTTCTGACCAGGGAGCTTACTTTGCCTGGAAAGCCACAGCAATGGGAAAGAACTATGTGAATGGGAAAACTTTCCTGGAGAAAAGGTAGGCTCACTATAATTAGATGTATTGGTAAACTTCTTTTATGGTTTTTAACTGCCTTTAAATTGATTAATGTCATGATTTTAAACAAATTATGTTTCTTACCTCACTGTATTTGGACCTAATTACATTCGAAACAAACAGAAGAACTTCTCTCCACCCTGACTACATATTCTTCAATACATTAAGTAATACTATTTAATTCTTAAAGATCTCACTTTCTACAATTTTATAATTGTTTCCTTAATTTTTGTTTATTCCCCCTTTAACTAAATTTTTTCCTACCATCTCAGAGAATAAGAAACACTGGATTTGGAGTCATACGTAAAATAATGTGTAGCAAGAAAAAAAGTTTTAATGATTTAAGTGACAGTAGTTACAGTATGGCACTTATGAAAAAAAAAGAGTGTGAAACTAAAGTACCTAGTGTTGATGGCAGATTTAAGGTATATGCTTGATCAAATGTAGATTACTATATAAAATTTACTCTTTATGTCCTTGCACAACAAACTGCTCCTTTATTTTTAGCAGTATTCTAGATACACCATTACTGTAAGTCTACCAGAAAAGGTTTTCAGACCTTTTGAATGTGGAAATATTGTCACTTTAACCAATAGATGAACTTTCAAAACTACATTTTTCCCATAATATTAATGTTGAGATTATAAAATACCTTGGACCTGGGATGAAATAGTAAAATAATTTTAGAATCTTGAAATACATTTCCTTTTCATCTTACATGTTAATGAGTCTGCCAACATTTTGTGTGAAGTTATAAATATAGAAGATATTTTAACATAAGTCAGATTTCTCTACCATATTTTATAAAATTATTGTAATATTGCTACCACATCCTGATTATATTAAAATATTTATATTTAAAGTTGTTTCCTAAAATAAACTCATTTTGGGGTTATTCCCTTTTCATAGTGTTGAAAAACAAATATGGTCAGTTTTTTATTTTGAGACAGCTAAAAGGTCACTAGGAAGCTTTGGTAGCGTAGTGCCTAAGGCACTTGACTGCTAACCAGAAGGCTGGCGGTTCAAACCCACCAGCCACACTCCTCGGAAGTAAGATGGGGCAATCTACTTCCATAGTGATACTGCCTCGGAGACCCAAGGAGGGGTTGTATTGAGTCAGGTCCGACTTGACGGCACATAACAACAACAATGGGTTTGGGTTTGTTTGTTTTTTTTTGGTTTATGTCTGTGAGGTGACTAAAGGAATTAATTTCACATTAACAGTACCATAACTTTGTTTTTTAAAATTCTTTAGATATAATGAAGATCTGGAACTTGAAGATGCCATCCATACAGCCATCTTAACTCTAAAGGTTAGTTAAGGCCCTAACGATTGGCTTTATAATGATTTTATCAATAATAGCTTAGAAAATTGACCATTTTTCTTCCTTCCTCATTAGGAAAGCTTTGAAGGGCAGATGACGGAAGATAACATAGAAGTTGGGATCTGCAATGAAGCTGGATTTAGGAGGCTTACTCCGACTGAAGTTAAGGATTACTTGGCTGCCATAGCATAATAATGAAGTGACTGAATAATCTGGGATTTCAGATAATCTATCTACTTAAACATGTTTAAAGTATGTTTTGTTTTGCAGACTTTTTGCATACTTATTTCTACATGGTTTAATGGACTGATGTTTTTAAAATGACACAAATCATAATAAACTGTTAAATCCAACTTCCAGCTTTTTAGGAGTTAGTAAAATTTTAACTTAGGTATTTCCTGCGTTTATCAGAGTTTATTTCTGGAATCTACGTTGTAAAGCACAATGATGAAATTATCTTTCACTCTTGTAATTTTGGTTGAGACAAATCTTATTACCCTCTTTTCCTAGCAGATGTTGCCTGTGTTTCAGTAAAGTAAAACACTGGTTTTGGTAAACATCACTGCTCTTACAACTAGGAGACTGCAGAATTCCATGGATTCCTGAGATAAAATATGAATCATAGGTGTTGGCAGGCACCTTTAGATGTGGATTAGAGAAATCTTAGAATACTCTGCAAGATTCCACTAGAGATAAGAGTGCTAAGGCAAATTGGTCTCCTATAGATTGAAATATAAGCAAATAAAAACTGCTTTGTTGATTCCCTGTAGTTTTTCCCTGACAAAAAGATAAAAATATTTTAACAGGAGCCCCCTAGATTGTACTAGACTTTTTAACTCAGTGATGACCATGAGTTCTGGAATTAAAATACTAATATAGTGTTAAGCCTATGGTTTGTGGCTATCCCCACATTAACCTCTACATTAATGGAAGGAATAGATTGTTCCCTACAAATGAGATCTGTACAAACAAGTAAGTATCTGAATTCATCAGTTTCATTGTATGTGAGGGTATGGTTCTTAGTTTATTTTTAAGAGATCGTAGAATAACAAAAGGCATGTCGTTAGTGTGATTCACAGAACATAAGGAGAATTTACGAACTTCGTCATTTTTACCAACTCACGTGAAGATACTAAGCAATTCTATGATTTAAGTGTAGCTCAAAAGATTTTAAGATTTTACTAAGTTTAAGGGAAAAGAGCCTTATTTTGGAGGACTTTTTTGAAGTTTTCCAGTTCAGCTACCTACCATCACTGGAACACCCATATATCTCGATACAGGTGGCAAAAGCATTATTATGAGAGATGGGAGAGGGCAACTTGAGCCCCCTTTTCATGATGTTTGTCTTGAAAGCTTCATATTATAGTCTCTTCTTATGGGCTATTTGTGTGTTGTATCTCTGTTGTTGTTGTTATGTGCCATCGAGTTGGACCCTTGGGTTTCCGAGGCAGTATCACTGCAGAAGTAGATTGCCCCATCTTCCTTCCAAGGAGTGGCTGGTGGGTTTGAACCGCCAGCCTTCTGTTTAGCAGTCAAGTGCCTTAGGCACTATGCTACCAGAGCTCCTGTTGTATCTCTGTTGTTGTTGTTGTTATGTGCCATCGAGTTGGACCCTTGGGTTTCCGAGGCAGTATCACTGCAGAAGTAGATTGCCCCATCTTCCTTCCAAGGAGTGGCTGGTGGGTTTGAACCGCCAGCCTTCTGTTTAGCAGTCAAGTGCCTTAGGCACTATGCTACCAGAGCTCCTGTTGTATCTCTAGCATACTACAAATAAGAGTAAAAAGGAATGGTCTTTGCAGTCAGGTAAGCCTGGGTTCTAATCTCAACTCTCCCACTTACTGGCTTAGTGAGCAAGAATGTTCTAAGGACTAAATTAGATTATACAAGTGAAAGGCCTGGCATGGTTAATGGTTAAGAACTCCTAAGGTTTAGCTGCCTTTGGATGTGCTTAGGCCCTTTATAATGTCCAATATTGAAAAGCAAAGGAATATGAAAAGTCTACAAATCAGCAAAAGTAAAAGTGAAGAGAAATATGTTTTAAGACAGAAAGAAAGTGTAGATTCTCACTGGGTGCTGCTAGAAGAATCCTACAGAATAAAAGGAGGAATAATGAGTTAAAGCATATTTGAGTCCAAATTCAATTTAATACCCTCCTCCTGCACACTTCTGTTTGAAGCTGCATACAACACTTCTCTCTTTGTTGTGTTTCTTATTCATTCCCTTAAATTTTCAGTTCTAAAAATGTTACTCTGAACCATCTAGCTAAACTCTTGATTTCTTAGGAAAGTCACTTAGTTGGGCTAGCAACTCATTGTATCCCTAAAAGTTCCAAAACTCATTTCTGCCTGTGGAATCTAGCTTCTTTTAATCTTACTTAAAATCATAATACTCTAATGTTGTTAGTCCCTCCAACTTTTGGTTCAGTTTGTCTTTTCACCCTTGAAAATATTATCTTTCTATGTTCTATCCTTTCAGTGTCCCAGTTCTTCACTGAACTATGAGTTTATATGTGCAAAGTTTATATTGGCAAAGAAACTGGAAAATGCTTAAAATGTACATATACTGGCAGGGAAAATGGGAAAAGAGGAAGAGGAATAATTTCATTTGGGTGTTCATAGTTGTTGAGTGTTGGAGACACTGGGCTCCAATTAGGCAATAAGGTAACAGCAAAGAATTTTTCATCTGTTGCTTAATTATTTTCATAGAATAAAGTGCCAACTCTCAGTACTTAACCTCTTTATCAGGTGTCTTTGCCAGTACAGGCTCTCCACTGTAAAAAAGAGTGTATTAATGTTCAGTGAATTGCCAGAGAACATGCAGAAGTTGGTAACTCTTGGATTAGAATCCTAATTCCCTGAAAACCAGTTCAGGGGTCCTATATTCATGTTGCTTCACAAGGATCCCTCAATTCCTAGTCCTTAATCCTTCTCAAGGATCTTATGCAGCCAGTGGCACAGTGGTTAAAGTGCTTGGCCGTGAACTAAAAGGTTGGCAGTGTGAACCCACCAGCCACTGTAGAAAACAAGTATGGCAATCTGCTTCTGTAAGGATTACAGCCTTAGAAACCCTATGGGGTGGCTCTACTCTATTCCATATGGTCATTTTCAGTTGGAATCATCTCAGTGGCAATGGGTTTGGCTTGATTCCTAAATAAGAATACATTTAAAAAGTTGGATAACTATAGCACTTGATAAAAGTTCTACTTTGTGAAAACCAGCACTTTATAAGATTTCATTAGGTACTTGCCTCCATATTTCAAACTATTTCTATAGTCTTAGGCAACTGTTTCTACATTCATGAAGATTAGCTGCTATATATTAACTTTCTGTTCTGCAAGATGAGGATTTAGAACTCTTATGCCAGCCTCCACCATCCACTCAAATAGATCACAATTTTTAGTTTTTTTTACTATGACTGTCTGTATACTATGATTACATTTCCTTTCCTATACACCTCCTCCTCACTGTTTGACCATCTCATTACCCGACATTTAGCACTTACAACAATAGTAAAAAGTCTCCCGACTATTTTGTACATTTATGATGTACTTCTGCCGGTAATGAACACTGAGGTACGAGGCACAAGTAATAATGGTTCTAATCGTTAAGATTATGTGTCAGCTTGGCTGGGCCATGATTCTCAGTGGTTTGGTAATTATGTTCTGATGTAATTTGGCAGCTGTGTAGTGATATTGTTAGTCTTCCTCCATTTTGTGATCTGGTGTAGTCATCCTCCATTTCCACCTATTGTCAATTTTTGCATAATGAGCTGGCCTTTGGAACCTAACCTTGTCTATAAGTGAGGCGTGGGTGTGCTAAGTTTTTGCTTCCTGGAGATGATACTTCTTTGATAATTGCCTCACTTTTTGGTTTGTTTAGTTTTCTGTGGCTGTAATTGATTGCCAGAATCCCCAAAAGAATTGTAAAGTCCTCTGCACACTATTTTCCTCATGGTCAAAAACCAGGTAATCTTAACAGCTCTCTCCCTAACTCTCCCAACACCCTCTGAAAAATTTCTCTTATGAAACCCTCTGTCTTCCTCTTCTAGTCCAGGCTAGTGGCATGTTTGAACTTTCTATTCTCTTCTCTCCTTGATCAGCTGGGTTTGAAAGCATTACTCCACTCCCTTCTGGATTCCACTTTTGGTGATAAGAAGCCTGATACTGTTGTATATGGGTTGCCAAATTCTTCATAACTCTTGTTTTCCCTCTGAATCTCTTTGGATCTTTTCTTTTCATCCCCATATTTCTGAAATTCACAGTGATGTGCCCCTGTGTAGGTTTCTTAACACATGGGCCAAGTACTCAATAGGATCTTTCCCTATAGAAACAGACCTTTCAACTTTGGTAAACCTACTAGTATTATTTCTTTGTAAAGTGTTATCTTTAATTTCTTTTTGTTTCTGGAATTCCTATTGGATACTGGACTTTTATGTTTTTGCTGTTTTTATTCTGCTTGCTAGTAGATATTTTTTCTATGTTTCCAAATTTACTGTTGATGTTTTAAAATCAGGGGTATTATTTTTAATTTCAAATTACTCTTATTCTGCCTAATCCTTTAAAAATAATTATTTTTTCATGGCCAAATGTCTAATTATAGAATGGCTTTTAAAAACCATTTTCTGCTTTGTTTCCTTAAACTTCCAAACAAAAATGTTTGGGAATACTGTGGCAGAGGGTAGGAGGGCTCAGACGTACTTTCTGGGGGATGCTAAATGTCAGTATGTACAATCCATTTCTCTAGAGTATCATTTGCTTAATTTCTCCAAAGAATAGGGTTTTAGAGAGGGGAAGATGGGCAGGTGCCAGTGATTCCAGCATTCTGGAAAGAGCAGGGAAGGGGCCAGTGCCATTTCACCATTTGATGTGGAAACTTCCACATTTTGTAATGGCACCTTTTCCCATCTTTTGTTGTGCCTGTATCTGGGACATTCCCTTCCCCCTTCCCTATTCTCAGCATCATAAGCTAGTCTTTTGCTGTAGGGGGAAGGTTTAGCAATTGCCTAGCTGGAGCCAACGGAAGAGAAACCTGCACAGACTTTTAAGCAATCCCCATTTTCAGTCCTACCTCACAGATCCCTTTTCTGCCTTTCAGGAACCTTCAGTTCCACAGCCTCTCTGGAATTCTGCTTTGTTAATTATCTGCATCTTGATTCCTTTCTGCAGGCAGTTTTCTCAGTTCTGCCAACTCCATCTGTAGAGTAGGCTCTCTTTGTTCAAATAACCTGACTAATCTGTAACCTGTTAGGTTATTTAGAAGATCAAATAAATAGGAGCCCTTGGGTGACACAAAGGAGCTCTGGTGATGCAGTGGCTAAGGCATTAGGCACCAACAGTCTCTCCATGGGAGAAAGATGTGACAGTCTGCTTCCATAAAGATACACAGCCTTGGAAACCCTATGGGGCAGTTCTACTTTGCCTGAAGAGTTGCTGAGTCTGAATTGACTGGATGGCAGTGGGTTTGGGTTTTTTTGGTTTTGGTGGCACAAATGGTTAATCACTCAACTAGTAACTCAAAGATTGGTGATTGGAACTCACCCAGAGGCACCTGCTTCTGACAGGTCACAGCTTTGAAAACTCTGGAACAGTCTACTCTGCACACATGGGTTGCCATGATTGGACCCCAAGGCAACTAACAGCAGCAAAGCACTTAGAACAATGCCTGGTACATAGTATTGAGTAAATGCTAATTACTATTGTTCTTCCCCTTACAAAAACTATTGATGTACCTTGTATTCAGTCATCTCTTTTGTTGTGTTCATTGTCTTTGTGGCTGCTTTTTCCATTCCCTTACTGCCTTTAAGTAAGGTTTTCAGAAGGAGCAGGAGTACATAGGGTTAATTTTAGCTTAAAATTTTAAAATGATTTTTAAAATGAGCTTTGC